GTAAGGCACCAAGTGCTTGGGGCACATGCTACTGGCATAGCATTCAACTCCCCCAACTCCGGTCTTCCATTTCCATCACCCGGGGTGGGGCACATCAAAGCATCTGTGCGTAGGGCACCCGGACGGCTCTGTCTCAGTGATACACAGAAAAACTATACTACATTTTTGTTTTTTTCTCCTATTGTACAGGCATCTTACCAGTCCAGAAATGAACAAAGTGCTTCCCTATGCACGTTTTTCAAAAACAAAATAATATTTCTGCCAAAATAGGCAGAAGAACATTTGTCAGCATTGCCATGTTTGTTTAGTTGGTTCGGTGCTGGCCTCTGCCCAAACCACAATGCCACCCTGTGATTGGTCTTTCTCCCCTCCGCCTATCACAAACACTGCAGTTGGAGCCTTGGATTCGCAAGGATTCTCACGAGCTTGTGAACTCATCAAAATTCCCAAAAATTCATCTTACTAGCAGTGTTAATATTATGTAAGTATCTGTGTGGAATTTTGAACATTTGTGTTGTTATATGTACAGCACACAGAGCAGGCTCAGAAAAGGCCATGAACTGGAAACGAAATGTGTAACTGATAATAGATGTAATATTTGTTAATCATGAGTGAAAATGTTTGTAAATGTGTTGCTAAAATATCTAACAGCTTTGACAATGACAGATTGTGGTGCATATCATATCCATATATTACCCATTACAATCTGTGAACACATTTGTGAGCATCCAGCCTGGGCCACAACTGTTTGATGTGAAATACAGTTAGCGCTGAAAATACTGACAAGAATATGTGTGTTGGAAGACTGAAAGATGTGCAGTTAAAACAACAGCATACTTAGTTTAAGTGCTTTCAGGTCTGTGTCTTTCTTTATATATAAGTAAAAAAATTAAAGCAACACTGCACGACTCCAGGAAAAAGACATGGACATAAATCACTTTTGTGCCATTGATAATTTGCAGGGACATCATCATGCTGGGGATGTTCTACATGTATGTGTATGGCGGAATATTCGCGAGTTACCGTGGAGACACAATGCACACATTAGCAAACACTGTCAAAAAGTTTTAAGATTGTCTGAAAAGAAAGAATACAACTTGGATTTAAACAACACGCTTTCAGGAGCCTGTGATCAATATGAGCGTTCATGATCCTGTTTAGGTGTTTAATTTTCAACAAAAATTGTGAGAACTAAAAAACTGCTGGCTTATGCTAGCTGACTATAATTTCATGTGCGTAAGACCAGCACAAATCAGTTCATCTGTTGTAGCTAAGTCAGCTCTTTGTAGTCAGATTGTGTTAAAATAAAGCACACATTAAAGTCTAACAAAGCAGACAAAGCAGAACCTACAGTTAGGATCACACCCCTGGGAATGTTGACAGTATTCCCATGGAAACAAGCAGACAAGTAAGAGGTTTTGTTGTCATTTTTTGCTAAAAGGTTATGAGGTAGTGCTTTAAATAACACGTGGTTACACTCTGGAATTCTCTGCTTAACCAACTTTGTAAGAAAACAGCCCTATAAACCATTACCATTTGATACCACAAGAACATTTTAACTGTAATTCCCCTCTAAAATATGGGAGCTAAATTGCATGCATTTTATGACAACATTTCACCTCCAAACCTCACACAAGCTGAGGCAAGTACATTGTGTTGTTTTTCTCCAAGTTTAGCTATTTAACGTGGAGAAGGGCAAAGGGAACTACTGGGTCCATTTATGTCTTTGAGTATATACCCCCATTGTTATGTAAATGCCCGGACGCTTCTGACGATCCTCAAAGCTGGATTATATTGTACCATGGGGCTCCGCAAGTCCGCTGAATTCACACTTCCAGGAGACACGAGGGCAGGATCTCAGGATTACTCAAGCGTGCATAAAAACCATTGTGGGAATTGTGCAGGGCCATATCAGCACTTATTCTGGGCTAATGGAATACCCCAAAACATGTGAGTTTGCATTGGGGATACTGCAGTTAAGGAGGCGAATGAGATGTGACCTTCTGTGGCGGTGCTCGCTCTCATAGCTCTGCAGTCTGTAATGTAATGGACTTCTCGTAAAGAACCAGCACAGCATGTTTGAACAGTAAATGAGAAAATCTGATACATATTCAGCGGCGGGATCTGTTAACATGGCACTCTGCAGGCTTAATGAAACCCAGCGCCGGTCTCTGGAGATGGAGGAGTTGAGAGAAGAGTTTGGATAGGAAGTTTTGACAGGAGTGATAATTCCAAAGAACATGTGCAAATTAGATTTCAGAATGTGTTGATGTCATACTTTTATATGGAGGCAAGAGCCAGTTTTCCCTAATGATAACACGAAGTATGCAAAAGGTGACATACACAAATGCTGAAGCACATCATTTCTATAATGACTAGACCCAAGAACTCACTGTACAGCATTTTAACAATATTAATTTTATCTTATTGATACTTTTCATCAACATTCCAAGGGTGTGATGCTAAGTGTAGGCTCCGCTCTGTCTGAGGCTTTATGAGACTTTACGACGGTGCATTATTTATTTATTTATTTGATTGGGACAGAGCATGTTAATGGATGAACATGACACAAAATGAATGTAAACATCATCTGTTGTCCTAAAGGGTTGGGGTCACAGGGGGCCAAACAATAAATTATTGCACAGTCCATTCATTGCACAGTTCCCATTATTGCACACTTTATTCATTGCACAGTCCAAAATATTGCACAGTCCAGTCATTTTGACACAATCTAACCATAAAGAACTGACTTAGCTGGAAATACAGCAAATGAGCTGATTTGTGCTGAGTCAGTGAGATTGTGAGACTTAAACAAGTCATAAAATTACAGTCACAAGCATCAGCCAGCAGTTTTTTAGGCAGACACTGTCAACCTTTTTGTTGAAAATCAAACACAGCAGGACCAAGAACGCTCGTATTGATCACAGGCTCCTGAAAATGTCTTAAATCCATTTTGTACTTTTTGTTGAGTTTTCACAGTATTTTAAAACTTGTTTTTGGCTCTGGTTGGGCTGTGGGTTGGTCACATGGTGTACAGGTGCTACGGTGGGGCTGCAGTATTTTTACTACAAACTGCCACTGTCGTTAGGCAAGACTCTTCACCCACTTTGCCTTGTATAAATGTGTGTCTTCTACTTGACTACTACTTGACTTGTACATTTATATAATTATGTCTTATTTCACACCTGTATCTTGCTATCTTTTTTGCTACGTATTTAGAATTTATTATCACCATTTATATTTTTTACTCTTTGTTATTATATTATATTGTGATGTGTGAGCTACTGTGTCCAAATAATTGCCCTTGTGGATCAATAAAGTTTGTCTAAGTCTAAGTTTAAGCACCACTACTTGTATCACATTTTAATCCTTTAATTGTTATTAATTAATTCCATTCATAAAATTCATTGCATGACAGTCTGCATAATCCTGGCTGATTTGTCATTGTTACACTGACGCATGAACTAATCCACTGTTTATAAAGTGACACATACTACTAAGAAATATAAGCGTGGCCACGTGACTCATCTACTTATTCACCCTCACTATAATGCCCCATTCATCTGTGACTCATGAAATTAGGAAACAACTGCTTTGCCTCCAGCAGCACTAAAGCGTCAGTTAGGACCAGAAACCATATTTGAGTCTGATCCATTTGGGAAGGAAAAAAGCTGCTCAACAGGTGGTGAGATTGTGCAACTTGGACTGGTAGACTTCCCACAGACACACTAGACAAAGGACAAAGGAGGAGGAGAATACAAGGCTGAATAACTGTTGTGTCTCTTTCATTGATTTTTTGTTTTTTTTGTCAAAATTGAGAACTCCTGGAAGTGTCTGTGAATAGCTCTTTTTAAGGCTGCTCCCAAAAGGACTAATGGTATATAGACAAATTTTTGTCACAAACAAAGATGCATGGATTCCAATATTTAGACTTTTTAAATACTTCTGTTTTTGCATTGTGGTGGTAAAAAAAGCATAAGCGTAAATGAATTTGTTTATATCAGCACTTTTTGGTATTCTGCATTCTAATTTAGTGTTCAACAAGTAAATAAAACTGCAGATTTCCAGCAAGAACAAAATGGAAATAATAAAGAATGGTTCTAGAAGCAGTATTTAAACATCACTATTTAAAGGTGTACCATGTAACTTTTCTGTTGGACGGTCATCTACCTGCTTGTCCCTATGAAGATGTTATTGTTTTGCCTTGGATGTCCAACAGTACTTCATCTACCTTCATGAAAACAACCTGGTGACGCCAGCAGGCCAAGTTACAGGTCAGCTCTGTGGAGAATTGACCCCACTCACAATAATAAGAGGGATTTTGATCAATGAAAGGATGCTTTTTTGAATAAATACAATAGACTTAAATATGAGTTTAATACCATACTAGGGAAAAAATTCTAGGTAAAGCAGGTGACACACCTTTCACCAGAAAAGGAGTTGAAGACAGGTTTCGTCAATACTTTATGAAGATATGAGCCGTGTCACCTGCCGTGTAAACTCTTAATCTGAGGTGAAATGAATTACAATCATGTTTGACTGGTCTTGAGGAGTGACAGAACAGACTGATATCAATCTGTAGGCTATAAAAAATAAAAGAGAAGTATCATTTTGGATTTGAGGCCAACATAGAGCACCTTTAATCTCAGTAATATGATTTTAATAAGTTTTTCTGGGATATTCACCTTGCCTAAAATGTATAAATTGGAAGGAGTCAACTTGTTCAAGACCAATCTTTTTCCCTTTAGAGTGACTATGATATAATATTCCTATTAATATACCTCTTTTGTTTTGATCACTTGCTCCGCCACCTGGACCACCTGCTTTCGCTCCAGCCTTCTCCCTCCACCTCTCCGATTGCGCACAGTAGGACCTTTTCTCAGTCAAGTACACAAAAATCACCTTACAGCTCCGTGAGTCAGGGAGGGGGCGTGGCGTAACGCGGTATACGTATGGAGGGAGAAGGCGCGCGCACACACACACACACACAAACACACACACACACACAACAGCTGAGCGAAAAGGCGAGCGGACCGTACGGCTCACCCAAAGCGCACTGGAAGCGACGAGAGAAAGTAGTACCGCTTTGACTGTGGAAACGAGAGCAGAGGAGCCGATCACACGCGGGCGGAGCATCGGGCTGGACCGTGCACGGAACAGCGCGGCTGAGACGAGGACGCACGTCGCAGACAACACTATGGCACGTGGAGCGTTATAAAATAGGTACGATTTATTTTTTTTTATACCATCTTTGGACATTCACACTTTGCGTCTTAATTGAGTAAAGCCTAGGTGGTCTTTCTTTGATGGGGGAGTCGCAGGCTCCGTCCACATCTGATTTATTGTGTGCCAGTGGAAAGTTGCGGAAATTATAGGCTACGAAATTACCAATAATTAGGCGATGTTTTAAAATAAACTTTAATCACATTGTTGGCAGCTTGTTATGTTGTTCAGTGTTGTTTAGTCTTAACTTATTCTCGTTTTTTGTTGAGAGACGTTGCTGTTTTTAGACCAGGTAAGCGAATGCAATTTAGAGAATCAATTGGTTATTAAAGATGCACAATGTAACTTTTTTGGTAACCCTGCTCACGGTAAGAATGCAAGTTATCAAGGTGTTTTAAACCGATAAAAAACACCTTTAGCTGTATAAATACGGGATAGATTAATAATTATCATCCCATTATCCCGTGGAAAAAGCACGCAAGTGACCCGACCTCCAGACACACTGTCACATAGTGCATCTTTAACTTGGGTATCAAACTAATGACTGTAGATTATTAACCATCTTAAACCATCAAGAGTCAGTAAAGACAGCCGGATGCATGATAACACTTTACACGTTATGATACCACTATTATCTAGCTGTAACTTACAGAAAAAGCTATGTTTAACATGATTTTTTTTAGGTAATTAAACTTTAAAGTTTTGTTGGTCTCCAGCAACGAATCCTCTGGCAATGTCGTTTAAATAGTTTAAATTACTAGTGTTTAAGGATAGGGTGGCACAATCGACAAGGCATATGCAATATAATACAATACAATAAAATACATGAAGAAGAACTTGGTTTCACTATCCGTTTACTGCACCCTGATATAGCTGGATTATATTTATGACTATAAGGAAATGGTCAGCCTTTGTTGTACAGTCATGTGCAGCTATAAATGCTGTTATCACCACATCCTTGAATAATTAAATTGTACCACTTTATTACTCATGTTGTGTGACAGGTTTAGTTTATTACATAAGGATTGCCCCAAAAGTCCTTAGTCCTTAGCTTATAAATGAGATATATGGTATGAGTGGTATGACTGTGTAATATATCACAAAAGTATTGGTATTGCAATATTGGCTAATGTAATAATCGATATTGCATCAAACTAAATGTAGCATAATAACTCCAAGGTTCTGTAAACGTGTGTTTTTAAATGAAAAAGGTAGATTTTATTTACTGTTTTCTTATCATCATATGTCTTAAATTTACCTTGAGTTTTTAAATAATATTGACTTGAACATTATGAACTGCATGTGAAAACTCAAATTATTGTGTAAAAAGTAGTATTTTAAAATATCGCACAAATATCGATATTGCAGTAACAGCTATATCACATATTGCAATCTTTTCCAATACCATGCAGCCCTAGTGTGTGACGTCATAGTTAGGCCGGTCACGATAACAAATGTCGAAGTGTGATATGTTGTAACAGAAAATATTACAATTAACAGTAATAATGAAACCAATAAAATGCAATGCGACTAATGCAAATAATTCGAATTCAGAACAATCCCAGTGCACTCAAAATGAACAATATCATTAAAGGTGGTGTACCAGATTATTACTTCATTTCATTTCGGTTTATTTTAGAGGGTTTGCAGCGGTCCAAAGTTATTCTGCTCTTACCTTATGCATTCTAAGCATCCTAATTGGTCGCTGTGATGAGTTTTTGAGTGCTTTTCCCAATTCTAAGAGACAAAAGAAGAGATTTGCCATCAAGGTAAAGCTAACAACAACCAGCACATCCTCATTATTGGACAATAAAATGCTTTAAGATGCAGGCAGTACACAGCAGACTTATTTTAACCTCAAGAGCTGTTTGTGCCATATATCTGTACTGGGGCGAGATACATTTTGCTGAAAGAAATGGAAAAGATCACAATTACAGAGCCTTTACAAAACTTCCAACAAATTAATAGCAGAATAGCAGCACAGTTTGTGTCTAAAATGAGTCATAGGAGTTACTTATTCAACCTAGAATTAGGGAAAAGAAGAAAAGGTACAAACAATTACTAGTGAGCTCTAAAAATATTGTTCCATCTATCATACACTGAAGTCAATATACTGTAGTAATTATTGTGTACCTAGCCGTACTAAGACCTGTCCCTTGTTTACAGCTCCATACTGGTGCGAGCAGAGCCACTACCCGCTTGTTCGATGTGGGATCCAGCCCTGCTGTTCTCGCCAGGCTGAAATCCTCCAGGGTCAGGACCTCCGTCATGGCAGCGCTGCTCCTCGGGCTGCTGCTGTTCGCCCTACAGTCCCCCCCCCTCCCCTCCAGACCCGCCACCGACCTCTGGCCCCCCACCGCTGACCCCACAACCCACCCCCCCTTCAGCTCGGACAATGCCAACGCAACTCACCCCAACGGGACTTCCCAGCGGCTACCCCAGATCATCATCATTGGCGTGAGGAAGGGGGGCACACGGGCGCTGATCGAGATGCTTAGCTTGCACAGTTCTGTAGCCGCAGCGCAAAACGAGGTGCACTTTTTCGACTGGGAGGGCCACTACCAGAAGGGCATCCAGTGGTATTTAAGCCAGATGCCCTACGCCTACCCGGATCAGCTCACCGTGGAGAAAACACCGGCGTATTTCACCTCCAGCAAAGTCCCCAAACGCATCCATGACATGAATCCTGACATCAAACTGCTGCTCATTCTTAGGGACCCCACTGAGCGTGTGCTGTCGGATTACACGCAAGTTTTCTATAATCGTTTACAAAAACACAAGCGCTACCAGCCAATTGAGTATGTCCTGGTTAAAGATGGGGACATTAACCTGGGATACAAGGCGTTGAATCGCAGCCTCTACTATGTGCATATGCAAAACTGGCTGCAGTATTTCCCCATGGACAGCATTCATGTTGTAGACGGGGACGAGCTGATAAGAGACCCTTTACCAGAAATGAAGAGAGTGGAGAGGTTTCTAAAGCTGGCGCCGCAGATAAACGCGTCCAATTTTTACTTCAACAAAACTAAAGGATTTTACTGTTTGAGAGACCATGGGAAGGAGCGCTGCTTACATGATTCGAAAGGCAGGACGCATCCTCAAGTCGCCCCAGCAATTCTGCAAAAACTTTACAAATTCTTTCACGGACCCAATCAGAAGTTTTTTCAGATGGTGGGGAGGACTTTTAACTGGAAATGAACTGTTTTCTGTACTTAATGCTGTAGTGAAGCTAAATATATTTTTGTACTAGTATGTTTGTTACACAGGATATCAGGGCGCACAATGGGTCATGACATGTTTAGGCATGTCAGGCTATACGAGCTTATAGACACTTGTCTGACTACTTCACTGACCCAGACAGTTTATGTAAGCGATAAGGCTACAAGGTTAAACTCAATCAAATCAGAATCACAATTTGAATTAGTCACAATCCATCACAATTTGAAACCAGCACATTTTTTTTTATTTCATTTTGTCATAAAAACAAATAAAATAACTTGCAAAGATAATTTCAAGAATATAAACAACAGACTAGTTTAGCACAAAAAAACAAAATAAATTTCTTCCTTCAAATTCTAAACTCTGCTCCAAACCACATGCTTTTATTGAGAAAGGAATGGCTGTAAACCATTTGATTAAAAAGAACCAAGCTTATCATTCACAATTAGAAATGTTTGAATCTCGAACGTAATCAATCAAAATTTTGTAAACTATACTGCCCCCTCAAAACAACAAAACTCTTGTCTAATTTATGCGTAAACTTACTTGCTAACCCAGTAGTTTTGACATCTACAAACATGTTCTGAAATGCATGGGATTGTTCTATTACTTCAGTTTGTCAGTCTGCTACCAAATGTAAAAGACAGGTTTTAAAACAAAAATTGCAAATCTACTTACAACCAACAACTGAATTTTTTTCCAACCAATTTTAGTCCTATAAACTTCGCAGAGCTGTCTTCACACTTATTTAATAGGACATTGTAAACATCTTACTGCATTTTCTGTTCTGAAGGATACTCGCCTGCTGCTATGATTTCTCCAGTCACTTTCAGGTACAAGTTTGTGCTTTTAAAAGTGTTATACAAATGCTCCACTTGTGCACATATGGCATTACTATGTTATACTGTAACTGTATTTTTTTCCCTTTTATATAAAAAAGTTAATTAACAACTTAATAAAGATGTATTTTATTTTTAGCAAGCGTGACGTTTCTTTGTATAAGTGTGTAAGTGTAACGAGATAAGAAGCAAGAGAAGTGCTATTTCCTAAGACAAAGACAAAGTATAGATTTTCATTTTTTGTATGGCCATAAAGTATTGCAATATGTTGGCAAAATAATGTCTCTAATAATTATTATATGTCTAAATAATATAATGTCTAAATAATTATTAAACTTGTTCTCTGATCTCCAAAATGTCCACTTGCAAACTAATAGAAAATAAACTATTTTGCTGTACATGTCCTTGGTAATGCCCAATGAATTTTTGGTTTAGTAGAATAAATACAATGCAGCTCTTTGGTGTTTGATGGGTAAAATGTTTTGTTTGGCCACATATAGTAAAAACTCAATTTGGTTTCCCCATTAAAGGTGCTGTACTCGACTTTTACTGTCTTAAAAACGTGGAAAAAAAACAAAACATGGGTTTGCAGTAGTCCAAAGTGGTTCCCTATTTATTTCGATCATTCTAATTATTCACAGTGATGAGTTTATAAGCACTTTTCACAACTTCCAGGGTGCATTTTGCTGTTGTGCTAATACAAACAACTATCATACGATTTGGGCACTTCCTGATTATCAGACAGTAAAATGTTTTAAAACAAAACGCAGACAGTACAGTGGACTTAAAAACTATCTTTACAATAAATCAATTCTGGTGCAAAACTAATTATGCTCAAATACATGGAAAAATCTGGTACAGGGCCTTCGAGTTTCCCATTGTTATGTATTACAGCTAAATATTTCAAATTTCCTCATGCATTCCTTTGTTCATCTATTATGAAGTTAAACAGAGCAATGTTTTAATTCAGAGACAAAACTATCATGATTTTCCTGTTTAACCTGGCCTTGATAAGCTCACTGGACGCCACACTGTCTACTACCATTGTGGAAACTCTGATCAGATATTATTTTTCATAACTTCCTTTTTTGCTATCTTGTTTTTACACATTCAGGCGGTGAGTTACGTGTGCAAATTAGGATCAGCGGGAAAGAATTGAAAGGTAAACTCCGACACAATTGGCGCTGAGCAAAATCAAAAGGAGAAGTTGTTTACGCCCGAGGGTCTGATCTTAGCGCCTTTTCGGAGAGGCAAGGGATTATTTATTCAAATCTTATTGCCACTTTGAAAACATCAGCAGCAGCGTTTCAAAGACATTAAGCTAGCAAAAACCAAACAGTAGCTTGCTCCTTATTTGAATGTGGCCTATTTCTATCCGAAGGGCTTATCCCGCGATGGAAGTTAACCCCATTTTGCCCTTTAAAGCATACAACTAAAAGATTTTCTCATGTTTTTTACAAGTTACTTACTACTTCCTGGTGCACAAACGGATGCCTCTTTATAGATGCATTGTGTAATTTTTCTGCTGGATGGTCCATCAAATCTTTTTCTCTATGGAGATGTTATTGCTTTTCTGGAATGTTTCACAGTTTGGCATTAAACCTTTCTATCTTCACACTAAACCAGACTAAATTATAGACCGAATTGTTATTTTTCTAGGTATTTTTGTGCTATAAAACTACATGTAATTTAATAAATGTAAGGTAGAGCTGTTTAATGTCACAGTGTTGGAACCATGTGATCGACCCCCAACAAAAAAGTTACATAGTGCACCATTACGTGTTGGTGGTGAGTAAAGCTATCAACAGTTATGGGTAAAGCAGGTTTGACAGCACTGGACGGGAATTCAAAACAGATAGGGGTGTGTTGATAGACATGCGCTTGCGTCATTCAGAGTGTGCAACAAAAACAAAGATTTGAAATGGGGCTTTGAGGGTCTCCAGGTGGTTCTATACATTGGCCCCATCTGGGAAGGTGGAGAGGAATTTGAAAGAACTATACAGCAATGTCACCTCTGTGTTGGTCGACCAGGAGTGATGTAATTACAGACCCTTTTTGATTTTTGGAGCAGTTTCCTCATTTGTGTGAAAATCAGACATTTAGAACGAGAATGTAAAACTATACATTCTAGACTTTATATTCCTCTAGAGAAAGCTATAACTCAGGATCCAATGAAACTAGCAGTCATACATCTTAGGTTTGATCTATGTGTCAATGAGTTGCAATTTATTCATATTTTGAAGTAGCTTGTGAAAGTCTTTAAAATTATTAAAATTAGGATTTATAGTGAATTTGTTTTTTTTGGTTTTTTTTTTCCAAGAACATATTATCAGTCAACTAAACTCAAATTCTCCAAAGCCTTGCGGTCTTTGATAGCTAGACAGTGATTTAGCAAATTCAAAGTTATCCATATTCATTAATTAGATTGCCCTTGGTATTGTGTAATATAATATACTGAGTGGCTAATTTATTTTCCGTGGGAGTGCTTAGGGACTTAGTGTAGGTCTATATATCATCAAAACAACTTTTGATGGATATACTTTCTTAAACTCAAACTTTATTCTAGAAATTTTATATACATTTACAAAATTTAGTCATGTTTTACTGTTATTTTGACACTTTATTCATACAGTACAGTACTGATTACAATAACCAAAGTGAATTTGGTCATTGGGACAGCTGGGTTAAAAGTAGCTATAGCTTAATGATGGCGTGTTCTTGAGCAACATACTTGTGCTTCTTTACCAATATGTACTTGCCATATGTGAGAATAAGATTAAAGATATTTTCTGATCTATATTATAATGTTGTTTCCCCATCACAAACAAGCCTGGAATTGTGTTTTGTTTCATTCACACATGTTCAACAGATACAACTTGCATATTTAGGCTAAGTTCTTCTTTAAAACTGAAAACACTCTGACCCACCTTGTGATGTCATGTGATAATACAGCAAGTGCTCCACTGTGTTTTTAAACTCATTACACCTTTACTAGAACCATTTGGATGATTTCACCTTCAGAATTTCCCATCTCTTTCCCATCTATATGAAAGGTAAGAAAAGGTAACTGTTAACTTGAAAAGCGACATGACATCACAAGGTGGAACAGAGCATTTTGAGCTTTGGAGATGTAGACAGACTAGTAAAAATTAGGTAAAAAACCTTCAAACAACACTCACAAGAGCCAATTTTGCATAAGACAGAACCTTTAAGACACAATTGAGCTCATATATATATTTTTTTTAATGTTTTGTTTTTCCAGCTAATATTGAAACCACACACCCTCATGTGAGAACGCATGCGAACTCCTTGTCAGCGTGTCGTCTATTAGCGTTATGAAGGGCCCATTAGTCTCGTCAGCCGTGCGGCCCTCCTCACTTTTACACTCACACATTTCCCTTAACATCACCTAATTAATCTGGCCCACATAATGAATTAGCCGTCTGGCCCACATGCGGCAGTCGCACTAAAGCAGGCTGTGAGCAGGAGGATTAATGGCCCTGGCCCTGCTCTTGTCTGCCTCCTGCTCTTCTGTATCCGCCACGTCAGAACAGGAACTCTGAGGCCCCCACCATTTTGTCCCAACGTCTCTCAGTCTCCCAGGGGCCACACGGGTTGTTCCTTGAAGGGGCCAGTTTTCTCTCTGGTCACAATGAGCTATTCTGGAGCGTTTCAAAGGACAGGCTGATCAGATAGAGCCTGGCCCCCGGTGCAGTGAACGGAGGAGCGGCTCGCTTTAATTAGAATAGATTGTTTGTCCGCTCGATGTGGGAAGCTCTGCAAGATTTAACGTCTCCTCGTTCTCTCTGGAGTTGTGTCTGTTTTGGTACACAAACGTCTGTTGGATTGTGGGTGGTTTACATTCAAATAAAGAACTTTTTACATTATGTTAACAAAAGAGGCCAGTTTTAAAGGTGCTCTGTTTGGAACTTTTGTAATGGGAGGGTCTGCTACCTGCTCGTCTCCATGGAGATGTCGTTACTTTACCCGGAATGTTCCACAGCATGGCATTAAACTTTTCTGTCTACATGAAGACAAATGAGATGTCACAAGCTGAAGTTACAGGTCAGGGCTGTGGAGAGGCAACCCCGCTTACGAAGAATACATATTTTTAAGGTATTTTTTAGCAATAAAAATGCACAAATAAATGCAATATTTAATAACATGAAACATCACAGTCAAAGCCATAACATCTCCATGGAGACAAGCAGTTGGTGTACCCTTTCCATCATAACCTCATTGCACTTGACAATCAAATGTGCCCCATCAATACCACAAAACTTATCACGAAAAAAGGTAAAATCAGAAAGCGAAAATCATAACTGGAACATACCTATGCATTTTCCAGGAAACTGCCTAAAATCAAATGAGCTGAACGTTACAGGCTGTGGTTTTAGCACTTTTCATATTTTGTGCATTGGCTAACCCAAACAACTAGCCATTAGAGCTTTCTGTTATTTTAAATCTGTATTACATTCAAATAAGTGGCTTAACATTGAGTGGCATGCTGTTTTCCACCAACAAAAGACTTATTTACCACATGTAAACAAGCCATATGTCTTTAGTGCACACATGTATGAGCTTACACACACCCATTAAATCCCTGTTGTTTTAAGTCTTATTGTAATGCGTCTTTAATTGTGGTAATGTTGTTTTAGCGCTATCTACACAATACATAATGGAGCAGAAATTAGCATGGGGAATGGGAACTGCAGAGAGCTATAACAATTATTTACTTGCAAACCAAAACAATTGTGGACCAGCTGATTTCAAAAGAGTAAGCAAAACCGAGCACTTTTGTACACACATAACATAAGTGAGATGTCTCTGGCTTGAATAAATAAATAAATAAATAAATAAATAAATAAATAAATAAATAAATAAATAAATAAATAAATTGGAGGCAAGCAGAGTCCATCAAGCCAAGTTATCGGTCAGATCTGTGGAGAGGTGTCCCGGCTCACTGTTAAAATGCTTGTTTTTCACTGTATTTTTGAGCTATAATCACTCACTTAATGAAATAAAGGCAAGAAAGAGAAGTAGTACACTGTGGAATATTCCAGACACAGCAATAATCTCCATGGAGACAAGCAGGTAGCAGACCCGGCCCCAGAAAATTATTTTTATTGCCCTGGAAAATGTGAATTCTTACTGTGAGTGGGTTTGCCTCTCGACTGAGCTGACCTGCAACTGGACCTAACAGTGTCACTTGCTTGTTTCCATGATGGTAGGCAAGTGGAACATCAAGTTTAGTTTTATACTGTGGAAACAAGGAGTTGG